ATGGCTACTTTCACGATAAGCCGATCCCTTCGATGGCGGTGCGACCTTTCTTGGGAGCTTCCGGTCCTCTCATGCTGAAGAAGGTCACTTTTGCCGAGTTCATCCAGTCGATCTACAACAAATACCCAGGGGTCAAGTAAGTAGCGTCGAATTCAAGCCTTCAATCCTGATGTAACACCTGTCATCATCTACGCAGAATCTTCGGGATGTTCGAAACGATCACGCCGTTCTTTGTGATCCGCGATCCGGAACTGATCAAGCAGATCGGCATCAAGGATTTTGATTACTTTGTGGACCATCGGCCTATTTTCGGTGTGGACGACGAGCATAGTGCGGATCATCCGAATGCTCTGTTCCGGAAGACTCTGGGATCGATGACCGGTCAGCGGTGGAAGGAGATGCGAGCGACGCTCAGCCCGGCCTTTACCGGAAGCAAGATGCGACAGATGTTTTCGCTCATGACTGAATGCTGCGATGGAATGATTCAGCATTACTTGGAGAAGTCGAAGGGCACCGGTCGAGTGGACGTCGAGATGAAGGACCTGTTCAGCCGGATCAGCATGAACGTGATCGCTTCGTGTGCCTTCGGGATCACAGTGGATTGCTTGAAGGAACAGGAACATGAATTTCTGTACCACGGAATAAAGATGATGGACTTCTCGAGGCCGATTGTGATCGCAAGGATGATGGCGATGCGCATTTTCCCGAAACTGTCCTCTCGGTTCGGGATCGATCTGCTGGATCGAGAACAGGCTGAATACTTCACGCAGGTCTTCCGCGAAACGATCAAGGCCCGCGAAAGCCAAAATATCGTCCGGCACGATATGATCGACCTACTGCTGCAAGCTCAAAAGGGTACGCTGAAGCATCAGAAGGAGAAGGATGATCAGGAAGGATTCGCCACCGTTCAGGAATCGGACGTGGGCAAAGTGGAGGTGACAAAGCGGTTGACAGAATCGGAAATGATCGCGCAGTGTTTGGTATTCTTCCTAGGTGGATTCGATACGGTGTCGACTTGTGCCATGTTCATGGCCTACGAGTTGGTTCGAAATCCGGATGTTCAGCAGAAGCTATACGAGGAAGTTCAGCAGACAGCTAAGGAACTCGAAGGAAAGCCGATCACCTACGACGTGCTGCAGACGATGAAGTACATGGACATGGTCATTTCGGAAACGTTGAGAATGTGGCCCTTGGCTCCGGCTACCGATCGCCTGTGCGTACGGGACTACACGATCGACGATGGCCAGGGTCTGAAGTTCACGATCGACAAGGGAACGTGCGTGTGGTTCCCGGCAGCTGGGCTGCACCACGACCCACAGTACTTCCCCAATCCGGAGAAGTTCGATCCGGAGCGATTCAACGACGAAAACAAACGGAACATCAACCTGGGAGCGTACCTGCCGTTCGGCATTGGTCCCCGGAACTGTATCGGGTCGAGATTCGCTCTGATGGAGGTCAAGGCCTTCATGTATTTCATTCTGCTGAAGTTTTCGTTCGAACGGGGGGAAAAGACACAAATTCCACTCCAGTTGAAGAAGGGCTTCACCAATGTGGGACCGTTGAACGGAATGCATGTGGAGATGCGGGTGCGGTAAAAAAATAGATAAGATTGTTCGAACTAAGTTTATCAGTAGGGGTTGTAAAGCAATGTTGTTCGTTTATAGATAGGGACCGAAATAAATATTGATTGGACAAAACCGGTTCGGTATCAGGTGTCGAAAGAAACATTCAGCTGTTCACAGCCAAAAGTAGCATCCGAAAGCGGGTCACGTAACTCGGCGAATCAACGAACTGGATTGCTTATTGGAAGATATTCAACTAACTATGCATTACGATTACAAGATAATCTAGTATGCTTTGGAAATCACTGCAGAAAGAGTTATAAAAAAGCCTGCATTTATCCACCTATGGTGCGATCTGACCTTTCTTACGTATTTGACGAATTTCATCCTAAAGCGTCTATAGAGTTGGCAGCATTCTGTCATATTTCATTGAATTCTAATGGTTTCAAATGTTTAGTAAACAACTTTGCATACTTGAACATGTTTTGACCTCCTCTCGAAAAAAAGCAAAACATTATTTTAACCTTTTTTTTATAAAAAAAAATGTAACTGAACAACAACGAAAAAAAAACATCGCTGATTTTTTGATATGTTGTGTAAAAAAGCCCAAATTTTCAATGAAAAATATAAAAACATATTGCGACCTCTGTATACAAACTATGAAATCCCTAAAAAATATACAATCAATGTTTTTCAATACAAAACAACTATTTTATAAATATCATCCAAAAAAATCGATCTTTTGGTCCACCCTAACATGGAAATGGTCACCCTAATATAAAAAAAAATATGGGTCTAATATTTTGCGATAAGGAACAAAACTACCAATTTTTACGAAATTCTGAAAACCACTATATCGTTTTGCTGAATTTATAAAATTGAAGATTCAATAGATAGATTACAATTGACGCACCCCTTGAATCGAAACCAGTCCGATGGCACGATTGATCACGACGATGTCACTGCGACGAACGTCAGTGATATTGAAGATTTCGGTGACGCTACCGACATAAGCGCGGCAAAAGTTAAGCTACCTCCGTTGGTAGTGAAAAATAGCCATCTTAACGAGCGTTAAGCCGAATTCAAGTTGGGCAGAGTCGGCACCAAGGTGGTGAACCTGAGGAGGTGCAATTCTTCATCCACGACATTCCCGGTGAGAAACCATTAAAGGTCGTCATCAAGGGCCTACCGAACTTCGATCCGAAGTTTATCGAAGCTGAAATCAGGGACCGGTACAAGTTGACCCCAAGTGCGTTAAGGCGTACCAGGATTGCCTTTGCACAGTGATGCTTAACGCGCTGAAAGCCATCCGCTCCATGATAATGAGAGATGAAATTTCTCCGAGAGGGTAGATGGCATTCCCCTGATAGGGTAGATAAAATTCCCCCTGAGAGGGTAGATGAAATTCCTCCGAAAGGGTAGATGAAAATCCCCCGAGAGGGTAGATGAAATTTCCCGGGGAGGGTATATGAAATTTCCCGGAGAGGGTAGATAAAATACCCCTTGATAGGGTAGATGAAATTCCTCCGAAAGGGTTGATGGAATTCCTCCATTGGGTAAATGAAATTTCCCCCGAGAGGGTACATGGAATTCACCCATTTGGTAAATGAAATTCCCCCCAAGAGGGTAGATGAAATTCCTCCAAGAAGATAGATGAAATTCCCCCCGAGAGAGTGTAGATGAAATTCCTCCGAAAGGGTAGATGAAATTTCCCTGATAGGGTAGATGAAATTTTCCCTAGAAGGCTTATGAAACTACTCCGAGAGGGTAGTTAAAATACCCCCTAAGAGGTTAGATGAAATTCCTCCGAAAGGGTAGATGAAACTCCCCCGAGAGGGTAGATGAAATTTCCCCGAGAGGGTACATGGAATTCACCCATTTGGTAAATGAAATTCCCCCCGAGAGGGTATATGAAATTGCCCCGAGAGGGTAGATGAAATTCATCAAAAAGAGTAGATGAAATTCCCCCGAGAGGGTACATGAAGTTTACCCGAGAGGGTAGATGAAATTTCCCCGAGGGGGTAGATAAAATACCCCCTGATAGGGTAGCTAAAATACCCCCAAGAGAGTAGATGAATTTGCCTCAAGAAGGTAGATGAAATTCCTCCAAGAAGATAGATTAAAGTCCCCCCGAGAGAGTAGATGAAATTTTCTCTATAGGGTTGATGAAATTGCCCCGAGAGGGTATATAAAATACCCTCTGATAGGGTAGATGAAATTCCTCCGAAGGGGTAGATGAAATTCCCCTGATAGGGTACATGAAATTTCCCCGAGAGGGTAGATGGAATTCCCCTATTGGGTAGATGAAATTCCCCCTGAGAGGGTAGATGAAATTCCCTAGAGAGAGTAGATGAAATTTCCCGGGAGGGTAGATGAATTTGCCCCAAGAGGGTAGATGAATTTGCCCACAGAGGGTAGATGAAATTGCTCCAAGAAGATTGATGAATTTCCCCCCCCCCCCCCCTCCCAGAAAGTAGATGAAATTTTTCCGAGAGGGTTGATGAAATTCTCCTGATAGGGTAGATGAAACTTTCCTTAGAAGGTTGATGAAATTGCCCGAGAGGGTTGATAAAATACCCCCTGAAAGGGTGGGTGAAATTCCTCCGAAATGGTAGATGAAATTTACCCGAGAGGGTAGATGAAATTTCTCCGAAAGGGTAGATGAAATTCCCCCGGGAGGGTAGATTAAATTTCTCCGCGGTGGTAGATGAAATTCCCTAGAAAGGGTAAATGAAATCCTCCCGAGAGGGTAGATGAAATTTCCCCAAAAGATAGGGTAGATGAAATTCCCCCAAGAGAGTAGATGAATTTGCCCCAAGAGGGTGGATGAAATTCTTCCATGAAGATAGATGAAATTCCCCCCGAGAGGGTAGATGAACTTTTCCGAGAGGGTAGATGGCCATATCTCCATTTGGTGATCCAATTCTGTCCAGTTATCTGTTGCCGAGAAACACAACTTTGTTCTACTAAACTGGTTTTTGCAAATCTTGTCTCGTCCATATCTCCGAAACGAGTTGACCGAATCCAAAAATATGCATTGTTCTATCGGAACATGAATCCTTTCATTATGTGGTTGTGGTGTATCATTTGGTTCAGTGGTTGCTGAGAAAGATGACTCAGCTCTCAAAATCCGTGTTTTTTTCCGGATCTTGTCCATATCTCCGGAACCAATTAACCGATTCCCAAAATATAATTATTAAAGAAATCGATTAGTATATGACATTCGGATCCAAACTTGGTTCTCTGAGCGATATGTATACCCTTCTTCGTAAAAGAAGCGTAACCAAAATACAGCCATTGAGTCAGCTAACACTGAAAGCAAACGGCAACAGGCCTTCCAATCTCCAAACACAACACTCTTATCACATGCCGCTTTCCATATATGGAACGCGCCACTTAGCCATGACTGCCAATTTAATCTAATAAAAGCAACCCACCTCACCCCGAAAATTGCGTTCAGTCGACAACGGCACGCGGAAGATGGAAGTCAATCTTCTCTATTTGAGCGCTTTCGTCGCGATTCTGGCCGCTCTCTATCATCTACTAACGAAAAACAATGGCTACTTCCACGAGAAACCGATCCCCTCGCTGGTCGTCAAACCTCTTCTCGGAAGTGTAGGCGACATGATATTTCAGCGAGTTCCGATCGGTGAGTTCGTCCAAACGATCTACAACAAGTTCCCGAATGTAAAGTAAGTCTCATCTCTAACAAAAACAAAAACGCTGTTTAACCGGTTCGATTTCAGAGTGTTCGGCATCTTCGATTTGATGACACCCGTGTATGTTATCCGCGATCCGGAGCTGATCAAGAAGCTCGGCGTGAAGGACTTTGATCATTTTGTAGATCATCTTCCGGTGTTTGGAAACTCGCAGTACGATCATCCGAATCTATTGAGTGGTAAGACGCTTTTCTCGCTGACGGGACAGCGCTGGAGGACGATGCGGGCTACACTGAGTCCGGCCTTCACTGGAAGCAAGATGCGACAGATGTTTGAACTGATCCTGGAGTGTTCGGAGCAATCAGTGCGGTACTACGAAGAAAACACACGATCGACGGGATCGCAGGTGTACGAAATGAAGGACGTGTTCTCAAGGTTCACGACCGATGTGATCGCAACGTGTGCGTTTGGAATTCAGGTTGATTCGTCCCGCGATCGGAACAATGAGTTCTTCGTCAACGCAAAGAAAATGATGGATTTCGGTAGGCCTTCTGCTATAATCAGGTTCATGGGACACAGATTGTGTCCGGCGTTGATGGCTTACTTGGGGTGTGACGTTCTTGATGAGGAGCAGAATACCTACTTCAAAAAGTTGATCTTGGGTGCGATCAAGGAACGGGAAAAGCTAGGAATCGTTCGGCCGGACATGGTGAACCTTTTGATGCAGGCAAGGAAAGGAACTCTGAAACATCAACAGGAGAAAGAACAACAACAGGAAGGATTCGCTACGGTTCAGGAGTCGGAAGTGGGTAAAGCACAAGGTGCTTCAACGATGACGGACGTAGAATTGGTCGCACAGTGCTTGATCTTCCTACTGGCTGGATTCGACACTGTATCGACAACGCTTCTCTATGCTTCATTCGAGCTGGCAGTCAACCCGGACGTACAGCAGAAGTTGTACGAAGAAATCCTAGAAACTCGATCCTCCTTAGACGGGAAGTCGCTAACGTACGATGCGATACAGAAGATGAATTACATGGACATGGTGATATCGGAAGTGCTTCGCATGTGGCCGCCAGCTCCCTCAATTGATCGCGAATGCATCAAGGACTACCAACTGGACGAAGGAAATGGACTGAAGTACACCGTGGAGAAGGGAACGGCCCTGTGGTTCCCGATCCATGCACTGCATCATGATCACAAGTACTTCCCGGAGCCGGAGAAGTTCGATCCGGAGCGATTCAGCGATGAACGCAAAGGAAGCATCAACACGGGCGCCTACATACCGTTCGGAATCGGTCCGAGGAACTGTATCGGATCGAGGTTCGCCCTAGCCGAGGTGAAAACCATTCTGTACTACATGTTGGGTAGTTTCTCGTTCGACAAGTGTAGCAAGACCGAAATGCCACCGTTTCCGACCAAGGCATTCGACATTATTCCGAAGAATGGAATGCATATCGAATTTAGACCTAGAGCGAATTTAGATTAGTAATAGAAATAGACGTTATGTTCGATTTATCATAAGACGCAGTAAGAATCTATGGAAAGAAACCCAATAACCCAATTTCCTTGACTTATTGCCTAATGCAGTGGTTCCCTATCTCTATGTTGCGAACCATGCGTAGATCTTCGGAAATCGCTAAATTTTCCTCAAAGTGCAATGTCTCTCTTTCAAAATTGGTGTGTCATCGCGAGAGAATCATGCTTAAGTCAGAGGTAAGTCTCACAATCAGAAAAGTTGAAATTGATTCCAAACCAAGTTGAAGCCCTAGCGGCGCCGGTGGTGTAGTGGTAAGCGTAATTGCCTCTCACCCCAAAGGGTCTGAGTTCAATGCTAGTCGGCGCCGCCGGGATTTTCTGTGGCATACAATCTCTGATCACGTTGGTCCCCGGTCCATGAGTTGATGGGTCGATAGGTAGAGTTCAGGTGTGGAAGCTGCCTTCCTGCCGTTGGTAGCATTGGTACTAGGTACGGAAAACAAAATTAACGGAAAACAAATCAAAGATAAAAATTGACGCCCAGAACGAGAATGTCTTCGATAAGCCAGTTTCAGATAGATTAGAAGAAGCGTTTCCATATATGCTTATCAGATAATTGTTTACTTGCGAACTTGACGACAGACACACACACGCTTTCTGACAATGACTATGAATTTTCATTATCACCTACCGTGAAGAACATTCAACGGGAATGGGTTGCAGAATTCCAATTTTCCTGTATCAGTTGCCTCAAGCGACTACACAACCCTATTTGGCAATCTACGATATGCATTTATCACAATTTAAATCAATTCGCGGTTATCATTCCCAGTCAGTTTCGTATCACATCTCAACCAGAATGGAAGTCAATATCCTTTATCTAGCAGTGGTAGTAGCGCTTCTTGGCTTTCTGTACCGCTGGATAACGCGCAATGATGACTACTTTCACGATAAGCCGATCCCTTCGATGGCAGTGCGGCCTTTCTTCGGAGCTTCTGCATCGCTCCTGTTCAGGAAGGTCAGCTTCCCGGACTTCATCCACTCGTTGTACAACAAATACCCAGGAGTCAAGTAAGTATCCTCGAATTCAAGCCTTCAATCCTGATGTAACACCTGTCATCATCTACGCAGAATCTTCGGAATGTTCGAAACGATCACGCCGTTCTTTGTGATCCGCGATCCGGAGCTGATCAAGCAGATCGGCATCAAGGACTTCGATTACTTTGTGGACCATCGGCCCACTTTCGGAGTGGACGATAAGCAGAGTGGCAATCATCCGAATGCTCTGTTCCGGAAGACCCTGTTTTCGATGACCGGCCAGCGATGGAAGGAGATGCGAGCGACGTTGAGCCCGGCCTTCACCGGAAGCAAGATGCGACAGATGTTCTCGCTCATGACTGAATGCTGCGGCGGAATGATGCAACACTTTTTGGAGAAGTCGAAGAGTACCGGCCGAGTGGAAGTCGAGATGAAGGACCTGTTCGGCCGGATCAGCATGAACGTGATCGCTTCGTGTGCCTTCGGGATAACAGTGGATTGCTTGAAGGAACAGGAACATGAATTCCTGTACCACGGAAGAAAGATGATGGACTTCTCGAGGCCGATTGTGATCGTAAGGATGATGGCGATGCGCATTTTTCCGAAACTGGCTTCCCGGTTCGGCATCGATCTGCTGGATCGAGAACAGGCTGAATACTTCTCACAGCTTTTCCGGGAGACGATCAAGGCCCGCGAAAGCCAAAAAATCGTCAGACACGATATGATCGACCTGCTGCTGCAAGCTCAAAAGGGTACGCTGAAACATCAGAAGGAGAAGGATGATCAGGAAGGATTCGCCACCGTTCAGGAATCGGACGTGGGCAAAGTGGAAATATCTAGTAAGATGACGGAATCGGAAATGATCGCGCAGTGTTTGATATTCTTCCTAGGTGGATTCGATACGGTGTCGACTTGTGCCATGTTCATGGCCTACGAGTTGGTTCGCAATCCAGAGGCTCAACAGAAACTATACGAGGAAGTTCAGCAGACAGCCAAGGAACTCGAAGGAAAGCCGATCACCTACGACGTGTTGCAGAGGATGAAGTACATGGATATGGTCGTTTCGGAAACCTTGAGAATGTGGCCCTTGGCTCCGGCTACCGATCGCCTGTGCGTACGGGACTACACGATCGACGATGGCCAGGGTCTGAAGTTCACGATCGACAAGGGAACGTGCGTGTGGTTCCCGGCAGCTGGTTTGCATTTCGATCCGCAATATTTCCCTAATCCGGAGAAGTTTGACCCGGAACGGTTCAATGACGAAAACAAACGGAACATCAACCTGGGAGCGTACCTTCCGTTCGGAATTGGTCCCCGGAACTGTATCGGATCGAGATTCGCTCTGATGGAGGTCAAGGCCTTCATGTATTTCATTCTGCTGAAGTTCTCGTTGGAACGGGGGGAAAAGACACAGATTCCGCTCCAGCTTAAGAAAGGCTTCACCAATTTGGGACCGTTGAACGGAATGCATGTGGTGTTGCGGGTGCGGCAATAATTAGATAAGATTGTTGAAACCAAGGTTATCAGTAGGTGTGTTTATCAATGTTGTTCAGTTATAGATTAGAACAATAACAATATTTTACACAAACCGGATTGGTCTCAGTTTTCGAAAGAAACGTCCAGTCATGCTTGAGTAGTTTATTTTACCTTAGTCATGCATGGCAACCGAAGCGGAGAACCAACGAGTCAACTAACTACGCAGCAACCAGAAAACCAGTTGTTTACTGAATTCGAGTACGAGTTGACGTTGAGGTTTGGCGGGCTACTATGTGGGAGAAGATCAAGTTTGTGGAGTACTGGAGCAGTACGGGAAGATCGGAGCGGATTGTGGCAAACTGGGTAAAAACCTGCTGAAGTTGGTGGGTAAGATCGAGTTGGTGGAGAGTGGCCATAGGCGAGCAACCGAGACTTACTAGAACCAAGTGTTGAATTGAAGCAAGCGCAAAAATAGTATTTATATAGTATTTAGATAACGCTTGTTTTCAAATTTGAGAGTGGGGAATCAATGCTCAAGGTTTCAAGTTCACAAAACTGAGTCTTTACTGAAGTTCAGGGAACTTGGATTAGTTTAAGTAATCCCGTAGATGTTCGGTGTTGAAGTCCTGTAGAAGTTCGGCGTTGAAGTCAGTAGTTGAGTATTACTTTATAAAAGTTAAGCGAAGTACATAGCAATTCGAGGAGCTTCGTGACATTTGAGGGAACTTCTAAAAAGTTCCGAAGTAATTTTTTAGAAGTTCTGAGGGAACTTTGTGGAAATTCCGGAGGAACTTTGTAGAAGTTCCGAGGAAACTTAGTAGAAGTTCCGGGGGAACTTAGAAGAAGTTCTGGGGGGAACTTTGTAGAAGTTCTGGGGGGAACTTTTTAGAAGTTCTGGGGGAACTTTTTAGAAGTTCCGGGGGATTTTTTTTTAGAACTTTCGAGAAATTTTAAAAAAATGCCGGGGGATTTTTTTTATAAATTTCGGAAGAATTTTTTTAGAAATTCCGGGGGAATTTTTTAGAAGTTCTGGGGGAACTTTTTAGAAGTTCCGGGGGATTTTTTTTTAGAAATTCCGAGGGTTTTATTTTAGAAGTTATTAGTTAATTCCGGGGGACCTTTGATATAAGTTCCAGGAGAACTTTTTTAGATATTCCGGGGGATCTGTTTTATAAGTTCCAGGGAACTTTTTTTTTAAGTTCCGGGGAACTTATTAGTAAATTCTGGCGGAACGTTTCAAGTAGTTCCAAGAAAACCTTTTTAGAAGTTCAAAAGAACTTTTTTAGAAGTTCCGGGAAGGTTTTTAGTTTCGGGGGAACATTTTAGAAATTCCGGGGGATCTTTTTAATAAGTTCCGGGGAACTTTTTTAGAAGTTCCAGGGAACTTTTTTAGAAGTTCTTGCGAACATTTTAGAAGTTCCTGGGGAACTTTTTTTAGGTATTCCGGGGGATCTGTTTTAGAAATTCTGGGAAACTTATTCATAAATTCCGGGGGACCGTTTTTAAACGTCAAGGGGATTTTTTTAGAAGTTCCGGGGAACTTTTTTAGTTTCGGGGGAACTTTGTAGAAGTTCAGGGGGTACATTTTTTGTTTCTGGGGAACTTTTTAGAAGTTCTGGGCGATCTTTGTAGGAGTTCCGGAGGGACTTTTTTAAGTTCCTGGGGAATTTTAGAAATTGTGGGGGATCTTTTTTGTAAGTTCCGGGGAATTTTTTTAGAAGTTCTGGAGAACTTTTTTAGAAGTTCTTGGACACATTTTAGAAGTTCCTGGAGAACTTTTTTAGATATTCCGCGGAATCTTTTTTAGAAGTTCTGGGGAAATTATTCATAAATTCCGGAAGACCGTTTTTAAACGTTCCAGGGGAATTTTTTTAGAAGTTCAAAAGAACTTTTTTAGAAGTTCCTGGGAAATCTTTTTAGAAGTACCGAGGAACTTTGTTGAAGTTCCGGTAGGACATTTTTGGTTTCGGGGGAACTTTGCAGAAGTTCTGGGCGATCTTTGTAGGAGTTCTGGGGGAACTTTTTCAAGTTCCTGGGGAATTTTAGAAATTCCTGGGGATCTTTTTAATAAGTTCCGGGGAAATTATTCATAAATTCCGGGGGACCGTTTTTAAACTTTCCAGCGGAATTTTTTCAGAAGTTCAAAAGAACTTTCTTAGAAGTTCCGGGGAACTTTTTTAGTTTCGGTGGAACTTTTTTAGGAAGTTCCTGGGGAACCTTTTTAAAAGTTCCGGGGGAACTTTGTAGAAGTCTCGGGCGAACTTTGTAGAAGTTCCGGGGGTACATTTTTGTTTGGGGGGAACATTGTAGAAGTTCTGGACGATCTTTGTAGGAGTTAAGTTCCTGTGGAATTTTAGAAATTCTGAGGGATCTTTTTAATAAGTTTCAGGGACCTTTTTTAGAAGTTCTGCGGAACTTATTCATAAATTCCGGGGGAATCTTTTTAGAAGTACCGGGGAACTTTGTAGAAGATCCGGTAGGACATTTTTGGTTTCGGGGGAACTTTGCAGAAGTTCTGGGCGATCTTTGTAGGAGTTGCGGATGAACTTTTTTAAAGTTTCGGGGAAACTTTTTTAGAAGTTCCTGGGGAACTATTTTCAAGCAGTTCCGGGGGAATTCTTTTAAAAGTTCCGTGGGGGCTTTTGTAGGAGTTCCGGGGCAGGTTTTTAGATGTTCATGGGCAGTTTTTTTAGATGTTCCGGGGGCATTTTTTAGAAGTTCCATGGGAACTTTGTGGATGTTCTGGGGGCACTTTTTAAGAAGTTCCACGAGCACTTTTTTAGTTTTTAGTTGAGAGGGAAAATGGATGTAATATCGGCCTAAATGCCCCTAATTTGGGCCCATATATAAGTTCAGCAATCGACTAAATTTTCAATAGTGACCATAAATATACATTATTACCGTCACAATGACGTGTTCATCTAGATGAAATTGATTAATAGCAGATTTTTAGCGATGGGCCCAATCTTAGATCCATAGGCCTACATTATAGCGATTCCCCCTAGCTCCGAGAATTTCGGAGTGAAATGCGATCACTTGGAATTCTTCAAAACCTTATTTTTTTTTCATTAAGTCAATTACTAATATCAACAGTTTACTTTTCTTTTAAAAAAATACCAGATCTTATAATACTTTTCAAAACAAACGCTGGATACCACATCAGTCTATACATTCCGCAGCCGCAACTCCACGTGCATTCCCTCGTCCGTGCCGACATTGTTCATACCCTTTCTGAGCTTCATTGGGATCTGCGTTTTCTCGCTGCGGTGGAACGAAAACTTCCGCAGCAAATGGTACATGATTGCCTTCAGTTCCATCAGTGCAAATCTGGATCCGATGCAGTTCCGCGGTCCAATTCCGAACGGCATGTACGTCCCCGTTTGGATGTTCATCTTGTTCTCCTCATTGAACCGCTCCGGATCGAACTGGTTCGGGTTCGGGAAGTACTGCGGATCATGGTGCAGACCGTGGATCGGAAACCACACGCATGTTCCCTTGTCGATGGTGAACTTGAGTCCTTGGCCATCGTCCAGGTTGTAGTCGCGAACGCACATACGATCCGAAACCGGTGACAACGGCCACTTTCGCAGCATTTCCGATACGACCATGTCCATGTACTTCATCCCTTGCAAAGCTTCGTAAGTCAGAGGCTTTCCGTTTAGCTCCTCGCAAGTCCTTCTGACTTCTTCGTACAACTTCTGCTGGATATCCGGATTCAGAATCAATTCGTAAATGATGAACATCGATGAGGTCGACACGGCTTCAAACCCGGCAATGAAGAAGATCAAACACTGCGCGATCATGTCTGTTTCCGATATCGCCTTCGTCACCTGCACCTTCCCCACTTCCGACTCCTGTACCGTAGCAAACCCTTCCGCAGCTTCCTCTCGTTCCTCCTCGTACTTCAACGTTCCCTTCCGAGCTTGCAGCAACAGATCGATCATATCGTGACGTACAATTCCCTTACTCTCGCGAGTCCGTATCGTGTCCTTGATCAGATTGGAGAAGTACACGGCCTGCTCCCGGTTCATCACATCCATTCCCAAGCGCTTCGCCACACTCGGAAACACCCGCATGAAGATCATCTTCGCTATGACGATAGGATTTCCCATTTGCAACATCCTCTGCCCGTGGTACATGAATTCATGATCTGCATCCTTGAAGCAATCCACCTCGATTCCGAAGGCACACGAAGCGATCACATTGATCCCGTAACGACTCAGCATATCCTTCACTTCAACCTCCATCCGACGACCCGTTCCGCTCATCAACGTTTCGTAGTGTTGCAACATTCGTTCGCTACAGTCCACCATTAGGGTGAACATTTGCCGCATTTTTCTACCGGTGAAAGCCGGACTCAGCGTCGCCCGCATGTTCCTCCAACGCTGACCGTTTAACGTGAATAGAATGCGCTTGATTAACGCATACGGATGCTCCTCGGTGTCATCGGATTCCCCAAAAAACGGCCGGTGATCTAGAAAGTGATCGAAGTCCTTGACTGCGATCTGCTTGATCAGCTCCGGATCGCGGATCACGAAGAAGGGCGTTAGGATTTCGAACATGCCGAGGACTCTGTTTGGGAGGTGGGGATTTTCTTGAAGGAATGTCATACTAAAGGACCGCACAGTGGATACTTACTTGACTCCGGGAAATTTGTTGTAGACGTAGATTACGAAATCCGAGAACGTAACCTGCTTCAACAGCAGCGACCAGGTCGAACCCAGCAGGGGTCGAGACCGGAGCGAAGGAATAGGCTTATCGTGAAAGTAATCCTGGTTCTGCGTTATCAGTCGGTAGAGATAGGCTACGAGTGATAACACCGCGGCCAAGTAGAGCAAATTGACTTCCATAGTGGTTGACTTCCAGTTGGCGACTAAATTGGGACCGGTGGCGATGGCAAGCGATGGACAAATTAATCGAGATTAAGTGAGCTGGAGGTGCGGTAGTGGGGATGCGCAATGGAATATGCGTAGCAGGGTGGGTTGGGTTCGAATTTATGACACCGAAGGTCAGTTTCAATTGGCAGAATTTCGTTTGGTTGTCTTTCATTGTTTTGGAATCGTTGATTTTCGAGTTACGTGTTATTTGCCTGCCAATCCGGTGGACCAAAAATTTTCTTACGTTTATCATTTGAAATCGTTAGCTAAATTGTCTATCCAGAAAAAATCTAATGGGATTTTCATGAATTTGTGAATGACCTGGATATCCAAAACCTCATGAAATTATGAACTTGTCTCATTTCAAAGAGGTTTCTTCACATGACGAGCCTAAAATTTATCTCTTTCAAATATTTTGGAACTATCCTAAGAATTCAATATCCTTGAGGTTCTTCTCGGAATATTTTAGAACTTTTTCGTCTTAGAAGACCTTGGAACTGAAATTCCCTTCAAGTTTCGGAAGAACTTCCTCTGTATTCTCCAGAAATTCTCCCCAGAATGAGCTTGAAATTATCCTCGGAATTCCAAGAAATTTTCCTCAAAATCCTTTGGAATTTGATTCAAAATTTGATTCTCTCGGTATTCTTTTCGAAATTATCTTGGAACCATCTGCAGGATTCACTAGAAATTATTCGCAGAATTTTCATGGAATCATTTCCAGAATTTTTTTTCTTTTGGATCTGTCCTCAGAATTCAATACCCTTGAGGTTCTTCTCGGGAGTCTGTCTGTCTTGTCTGTCTTGTCTGTCTTGTCTGTCTTGTCTGTCTTGTCTGTCTTGTCTGTCTTGTCTGTCTTGTCTGTCTTGTCTGTCTTGTCTGTCTTATCTGTCTTGTCTGTCTTGTCTGTCTTGTCTGTCTTGTCTGTCTTGTCTGTCTTGTCTGTCTTGTCTGTCTTGTCTGTCTTGTCTGTCTTGTCTGTCTTGTCTGTCTTGTCTGTCTTGTCTGTCTTGTCTGTCTTGTCTGTCTTGTCTGTCTTGTCTGTCTTGTCTGTCTTGTCTGTCTTGTCTGTCTTGTCTGTCTTGTCTGTCTTGTCTGTCTTGTCTGTCTTGTCTGTCTCTTGTCTGTCTTGTCTGTCTCTTGTCTGTCTTGTCTGTCTTGTCTGTCTTGTCTGTCTTGTCTGTCTTGTCTGTCTTGTCTGTCTTGTCTGTCTTGTCTGTCTTGTCTGTCTTGTCTGTCTTATCTGTCTTGTCTGTCTTGTCTGTCTTGTCTGTCTTGTCTGTCTTGTCTGCCTTGTCTGTCTTGTCTGTCTTGTCTGTCTTGTCTGTCTTGTCTGTCTTGTCTGTCTCTTGTCTGTCTTGTCTGTCTTGTCTGTCTTGTCTGTCTTGTCTGTCTCTTGTCTGTCTTGTCTGTCTTGTCTGTCTTGTCTGTCTGGTCTGTCTGGTCTGTCTTGTCTGTTTTGTCTGTCTTGTCTGTCTTGTCTGTCTTGTCTGTCTTGTCTGTCTTGTCTGTCTTGTCTGTCTTGTCTGTCTTGTCTGTCTTGTCTGTCTTGTCTGTCTTGTCTGTCTTGTCTGTCTTGTCTGTCTTGTCTGTCTTGTCTGTCTTGTCTGTCTTGTCTGTCTTGTCTGTCTTGTCTGTCTTGTCTGTCTTGTCTGTCTTGTCTGTCTTGTCTATCTTGTCTGTCTTGTCTGTCTTGTCTGTCTTGTCTGTCTTGTCTGTCTTGTCTGTCTTGTCTGTCTTGTTTGTCTCTTGTCTGTCTTGTCTGTCTTGTCTGTCTTGTCTGTCTTGTCTGTCTTGTCTGTCTCTTGTCTGTCTTGTCTGTCTCTTGTCTGTCTTGTCTGTCTTGTCTGTCTTGTCTGTCTTGTCTGTCTTGTCTGTCTTGTCTGTCTTGTCTGTCTTGTCTGTCTTGTCTGTCTTGTCTGTCTTGTCTGTCTTGTCTGTCTTGTCTGTCTTGTCTGTCTTGTCTGTCTTGTCTGTCTTGTCTGTCTTGTCTGTCTTATCTGTCTTGTCTGTCTTGTCTGTCTTGTCTGTCTCTTGTCTGTCTTGTCTGTCTCTTGTCTGTCTTGTCTGTCTTGTCTGTCTTGTCTGTCTTGTCTGTCTTGTCTGTCTTGTCTGTCTTGTCTGTCTTGTCTGTCTTATCTGTCTTGTCTGTCTTGTCTGTCTTGTCTGTCTTGTCTGCCTTGTCTGTCTTGTCTGTCTTGTCTGTCTTGTCTGTCTTGTCTGTCTTGTCTGTCTTGTCTGTCTCTTGTCTGTCTTGTCTGTCTTGTCTGTCTTGTCTGTCTTGTCTGTCTCTTGTCTGTCTTGTCTGTCTTGTCTGTCTTGTCTGTCTGGTCTGTCTTGTCTGTCTTGTCTGTCTTGTCTGTCTTGTCTGTCTTGTCTGTCTTGTCTGTCTTGTCTGTCTTGTCTGTCTTGTCTGTCTTGTCTGTCTTGTCTGTCTTGTCTGTCTTGTCTGTCTTGTCTGTCTTGTCTGTCTTGTCTGTCTTGTCTGTCTTGTCTGTCTTGTCTGTCTTGTCTGTCTTGTCTGTCTTGTTTATCTTGTCTGTCTTGTCTGTCTTGTCTGTCTTGTCTGTCTTGTCTGTCTTGTTTGTCTCTTGTCTGTCTTGTCTGTCTTGTCTGTCTTGTCTGTCTTGTCTGTCTCTTGTCTGTCTTGTCTGTCTTGTCTGTCTCTTGTCTGTCTTGTCTGTCTTGTCTGTCTTGTCTGTCTTGTCTGTCTTGTCTGTCTTGTCTGTCTCTTGTCTGTCTTGTCTGTGAAGCCTGGAAGTTCAGAGAACTTGAGGAAAATTGTGGAAACTTTAACGAAGATCCGAGAACTTCAGGGAAGATAGGTCTAGAGATTATCAGGGAAGCTCAGAGTTCTTAAGACTGTTACAATGACTTCTGGGACGTCCAGACTTTCGGGCAAGTTGAAAGATCTGTAAACGTTAGTTTCGAGGAATTCAGGGTAGCACCATGAACGTCAGACATATTTTGGGAAGCTTCAAGAAGTTCCAAGAATTTCAGGGAAGTCCAGAGAACTTCTAAAAGCTTCAGGAAACTTTTGACATATTTTGGTAATTTCACAGAAGTTCAGAGATGTTCAAGGAAGTTTAAAGATTTCTAGGACAATTCCATTTATTTAAAGTACCAATATCCTGATGAGACCACGAAACCTCATCCCCAAGCTCCTCCCCTGATCCTATTCTTTGACAATGTACCACACTAACCTCGGGTAAGTCGCGAGTAATCGGCCCAACTCCTACAAGACATAGAAATAAGTGAATTTTGTTAAAAACATTTAAATATCGGCTCCGCAAAGCTAACGCGATTGAGCCTGCCAAATAAACGAACTAGATCAAAAAGCGCCAAAGTCTTCAGGATGGCTTCGACAACCTCTCGTGGTTCAATTAACGTCAAGAAAATTGCAGGAACTCTACAGAAGTTCCAAGAAACTTAGGGAATTTCCGAAATCTTCGGCAAAGTTCCGAAATCTTCAGGAAAGATCGGAGAACTTTAGAGAAGTTTAAAAAATTTTAAGTAGTCATGTTCCGAGAATTTCAATGATGATCAGAAATTTTCAGAGCAGCTCCATTAATAAATTTCAGGAACTTTCAAGAAGAATTATGGAATATTCCAAAAATTTTAGGAATGTTCTGAAAAATTCAGTACAGCGAAGTTCCATAAATAAGTAAAAACATTCTTCAGCGAAGTTCCATGAATAAGTAATTTTTTTGCAACGTTTTAGAAAATCCGAGAACTATTTAAAAATTAGGAAACGTAAGAGAAAACTTCAGAATTTCATGAAAATTTAGGAAACTTCAGTGAAGTTTAGAGATTTTAAAGAAAGTTCCATGAGCTTCAAGGAAGTACTGAAATATGAGTAAAATTGTGGGAGCTTCACGAAACATGAAACATTTAAAAACCTCTGAAAAATTCAAGTCTAGATGTTCAGAGAACTTAAGAACAGTTCCGAAATCTCCTGAAAAGTCTAGACTTTCGGGTAACTTTAAAGATCTTGAAGAATAGGTCATTTTCATTCGCCTTGCAGTCTTCACGAAAAAGTTGTATCATCGTCAACGTTTCGATCCAGAAGTTGGGATCTTCATCTGGCCTAGTTTTAGTCGTAAAGATTTTCGAGCTGAACGAAAGACGATACAACTTTGTATCCCCTGAAGAAGGTAAAGTTCAAATACCGAAACGTCGGACATAAAATTTCCAAGCGCTTTGATTAGTTAAACTGAAAAGTCATTAGAGAGAACTAAATTATGAGTACATCCCGAAATTACAATATGCAAAATTAGTGAGTAGGCAGCTCCTAATTAACCATGACAGTGCTATTTATTTAACAATTGTTTTATTGTTGATTATCCTAAGCTAATTTCATGTCCCTTTTTCTTTTCAGGAACCTCGGAAGATTTCTTACGGCAGAATGCCAAACGCTCAGGTACGTTCCTTCGAATACACTTCCTGTACTCCTATTATCTCGGTCTAAACTCCAAATACACACCACATTCGGGCTTCAGTGTTGCGAATCCCTTCACAATCTCCAGCGGGACTTGAGTCCTACCGGTTTTCTGGAAACTAAAATCCATAACCATATGATACACGATCGCCTTCACCTCCATCAGGGCAAAACGCGATCCAATACAATTCCGTGGTCCGATTCCGAACGGTAGATAGGCCCCCAAGTTAATGCCAGCTTTGCTCTCTTCGCTGAACCGTTCCGGTATGAATCGCTCCGGACCCGGGTAGTACTTGGGATCGTGATGGATCGCGTAGATCGGGATCCAAATGCCACTACCGCGATCAATGGTGTACGTAAGTCCTGTTTCGTGGGTCAGTTCGTAGTCTTGAACACACAGTCTATCCACCGCTGCTATGGCAGGCCACTTCCGGAGCACTTCCGAAACTACCATATCCATGTACGGCATCTTCTGAAGAGTATCGTAATTTAGAGGCTGACCTTGCAGCGACTCATGAGTTTGGCTGATCTCTTCGTATAGCTGTTTTTGTACTTCTGGATTCAACGCCAGCTCGTAAGCTAAGAAAGCCAAAATGGTGGACACCGTATCGAATCCGGCCAAGAAGAACAACACACACTGAGCGATCATTTCCTGTTCGGTCATCGTGCCCGATTCTTCAACCGTTGCGAAGCCCTTGTACTGCTCACTTTCCACCGGATGCTTCAGCGTTCCTTTCTTTGCTTGCATCAACAGGTGTACCATATCCGGACGAATGATTCCTTTCACTTCCCGCGTTCTGACCGTATCCTTGACCAACGCCGAAAAGTAACTGTTCTGTTCCTGATCGTTGATGTCGATCCCCAGTCGACCCATCAAAGTAGGCGCAAACCTGTATCCGAGTATTCGTGCCACTACGCTCAGCCTACTGAGCTGCAGCATCTTACTGCCGTGGACGAAAAACTCATTATCCCGCTTCCGCAGCGAGTCCACCTTGATTCCGAAGGCACAGGTCGCGATCACATCGTTTGCAAACCTCGAAAAAACGTCCTTCATCTCGTACTCCTTTCCCGGGGATTCACCCCGATAGAACCGAACCATACTCTCGCTGCACTCCACGATCAGCTCGAACATCTGCCGCATCTTGGATCCGGTAAAGGCCGGACTCAGCGTCGCCCGCATGTTCCTCCACTTTTGACCCGTCAGGCCGATGAGGGACTTTTCGAACAGCAAATTCGGATGATCCGATTCGCTAGCCCCGAAAACCGGGCGATGATCCATGAAGTGATCGAAGTCCTTCACTGCGATTCGCTTGATCAGTTCCGGATCGCAGATCACGAACATCGGAATGTTGACATCGTACAGTCCGTAGACTCTAGGGTTCGAAGAAAGCATATTGGAAACTTGAAACTTAGACGAACTTATTTTGATTAACTTACCGAGCTCCTGAAAATTTCTTGTAGCTGGATTGTATGAATTCAGGAAAAGTGCACTGTTTGAGCAGAAGTGGCCCAGTGCTGCCCATGATGGGTCGCACGGCCATCGAAGGGATCGGTTTTTCGTGAAAGTAGTCCCGGTTTCCGGTTATCCAGCGATAGATCGCTCCAAGGATGACAGCGATTGAAAGGACCACGGTCAAATCGAGTTCCATTTTGATTGCTATCGTGGCGGCAATTGGACGAATACTGCGTTACACGCGTGTTTACCGGCGACTTTTTGTAGTGCACTTGATAGGATGATTTGATACTTTTTAACGGTAATTAAAGGGCGGAGTGGGTGAAAACAACGTGCAAATTTTACTGGCACGCGTCGCGCTACTTGATAATGACAATGACTTTCGAAATCGAGCCGATGTTGATCGGTTGATAGTATGACGCTGCAATGCAGATTTGCACGCCACCATGTTGCATGTTGAATCGTCCAGAGCAGTTGTTTTGAATAATTAAATTCATTTGGATGTTGTTTGCGAATCACGTTAATTTGCTTTGAATTGTACGTTCAATTTTCAATGTTGAATTATCGACGCTCGATTATTCAATTTTCAATTTTCAGTTGTGGATATTCTTTTTGCTCCGGGCTTAAAATAAAAGTGACCTAGTGAGTAAATGAAAATTTCAAAAATGGAAATCTCTGAGACATCTCCTCAGATTGAAGATTGTTTTCCTTTTATTATTTCGATCAAAACTACTAGAGATTTTTCCAATCTGAAGTGATGTCTAATAGATTTCCATTTTTGAAATTTTTATTTACTCACTAGGTCACTTCTAGATAGAGCTGGCATTAGGGTCTAACAGCTTTTGTAAACAATGACTTCTCTTGATGATTTCTAGAAATTCAAGGCTTGCCCACGCAAACCAACATCCTCATCGGGTTGGGAACGACTTCCCCTATCCGATGGTTAGGTTAGTCTGCGTGGACGTGCCTTGAATTCCTAGAAATCATCGATAGAAGTCATTGTTTACAAAAGCTGTTACGCCCTAATTCCAGCTCTATCTAAACTTTCACCTTTATGAGTCCGGGTTCAACATCTTCCATGGACTAGATTTTTAATGAAAAATTCTGAACCAATGGAATAGGCTTTTGAGGTTTTTTCAAAATTTTTGTGAGTTTCCAAAAGGGTTTGGAACTCGGGTCTAATTTCGAAATATTATTTTCAAAAGTTTTGTTCCTCAGGGCAGAGAATCGCTTTTTAATTTGTTTTTGCAAATCCCGCCAGATAACCTTCATGGCAGGATCGCGTGTTCTTTGATATTGTCTCCTACGGACATTTTTAAGGCGGATCAAGAGCTGAAGATCGTCGTCTATTATAATTGAATCGAATTTAACCTCGCATTTTGGTACTGAGACAGCTCTTGCTTCAACCAATAATCAATACAAAACTAACGATTTTAAATTGGCTCACTACTTGATTAGCCTATTGGTCCCAAGCAAACGATTAACGTACCCTATTGTAGTCAAAATTCTAGTACTGCACAATGTTTGTTTTGATTCGCTATGAAAGTTTGACAGATTAAATGAGGGGCTAGTGGATTTTTCTATGTTTCGAGGGGTGAATCGATTAGCTTGGGACCGATGATAGTACCAGAGCTGAGCCAAAAAGTAGAGCTCGTTTCTTCGGGACCTTCTGGTCTTAGAGTTATCTCTATGCTTCAACTATAGAAGTAGTCAGAGATTCAAGAGCATAATTAATTTCATCTTTGGTTTGCAACGGAATGTTTGGATCGAAGTTATATTCCATAAATGTTCGACATTGCTCCCAATCAGCTCTATGGTAATTGAAAGTAGAGCTGTTGGGATTACAAATTATTTCTTGGGATATTTCAAAAGTTACTGGAAGGTGATCAGAACCGAAGTCAGCATGGGTAACCAATTGGCTACAAAGTTGACATGAATCAGTTAAAACCAAATCAATAGTGGAGGGATTTCTTGCAGAAGAAAAGCATGTTGGGCTGTTTGGATATTGAATAGTGTAATAACCTGCAGAACAATCATCAAACAGAATATTACCATTGGAATTGCTTTGAGCATTATTCCATGAGCGGTGTTTTGCATTAAAATCACCAATAATGAAGAATTTAGACCTATGACGGGTAAGTTTCTGGAGGTCACCCTTGAGAAAATTCTTTTTCTGGCCTACGCATTGGAATGGCAAATAGGCAGCTATAAACGTAAGTTGTCCAAATTTTGTTTGAACAGAAACTCCCAAAGTTTCAAAAACTTTGGTTTCAAATGAAGAAAGAATTTTATGTTTGATTCGTCTATGAACAATGATGGCAACGCCCCCATAGGGGCCATCAAGACGATCATTTCTATAAATTAAATAATTTGAGTCCTTGTTAACCTTATGGTCAGGTTTAAGGAACGTTTCAGTTATAACGGCAATATGCACGTTATGAACTCTCAAAAAGTTAAATAGCTCGTCTTCATTATCTTTAAGAGATCGAGCATTCCAATTTACAATATTTAATGCTTTAAAATCCATTACTGAATTTTAAAGTCATGACAATATTATTTGCAAAATTTTACTCCAGTTTGAATAGCATCAAACATGGAGTTAGATTTAAGCATATCAGAAATCATGTCAATTAATGATTTCTGTAAAAGTTCCATTTTAGGAGCACTAATGCTTCCTAAGTAAAAATTTTCAAAATTCACGTTAGAACGTTGGTTAGTATTTTGATTTCCACCCGCTGCAATTGCAGCATAGGTAGCTCCATTAACTCGCTGAACATTGTTAGCAGCGAGGGGAGTAGGTACAGATGAAAAATTTGAAGCAGGGGTGATATTTGTACCTCCGGGTACGAATGTAGAATTTGTTCCTCGCTGACCGTTGTTAACAGCAGAGGAATTTGTACCTGGTCGGAAACGTTGAGCGTTTCCTACCTGTCGCTTAGAACGAGATTGTAGGATCGCTTTGCGAGTCTTACATTCCCAAAAATTGGATTTGTGGTTTTCACCACAATTTGAACATTTAAATTTCTTAGGATCTTCCTTCACAGGACAGTCGTCCTTTGCGTGAGAGGAATCACCACAATTCATGCATTTAGCTGGCATGTAGCAATTTTTAGTTCCGTGGCCCCAACCCTGGCACTTACGGCACTGAGTGAGGTTTTGGAAATTTCCTCCAGTCTTCCTGAAGTGTTCCCACTTCACTCGGACATGGAGCATAAGGCTAGCTTTTTCTAAGGCCTTAAGGTTGTTTAGTTCACTAGACTTGAAGTGAACTAAATAAAAATCATTAGAAATCCCGTTGCGCGAATCGCCAGGACGGGATTTCATTTTCATTTTGATTCCTTGGAGTGGCACAACTCCAAGTAATTTTGCCAGTTCATCTTTGATCTGATCCAGGGATTCACCACTGGGCAGTCCTTTCATGACAACCTTGAACACACGTTCAGTTTTGGTGTCGTAAGTAAAAAATGTGTGCTTCTTCTCAGTAAGATACTTGAGAAGACATTTAAATCCGTCCAAGGTTTCAGCCAATACACGGCATTCACCCCAACGTCCAATTTGTAGAGAAAACTTAACTTTCACGAAGTTCATGGAAATCGGAAGTGGTTATCACAATAGGGGGAATCTTTTCCTTCTTGGCATTAAGCCGGGAAAGTTTACTAGAATTTTTCTTGGATGATGGATCATTCTCATCATCCGTGAGCAAATCAAATTGATTACTCAAATTAATTTCTTCAGAAGGGGGGTCAAGAGTTTGCCCCTTTCTTTTGCGTTTAGGCGCCATGGCGGCAGTAAATTTTTATCCAAATCGACTTCCAAGCAGATTACTATAAGAATCTGAAGGATCGAAGAGGAATTTTCCAAATCGATATCCAAGAAGGATTACCTCGGGTAGGGTCCCAACAAGGATCGAAGAGGAATAAAGTTGAGCAAGGTAGAAATTTTACAGGTTGAGCACTGAAAAGTGCTGTTTAAATTTGTTGTAGCTTTAGGTAGTAGTAAGACTTCCTTCAGCAAAAAGCAAATAGATCCGCACGGCAAGAGAGCACGATGCGGACTGGGTCGTTGATACTCATTTCTTCGTGTTCAGTGCGAATATTAATCTTTTCTTTCTTTTGAAAAGCTTGATTTCAATCTGAGCATCAAACCTAAATCGTCTTTTTCACTAAATAAATAATCATTGTTTTAGCTTCGAGTGGACTTGGAATCTTTTGAGTGGACTTCTGATGTTCAAATGCTCTGATTTCTCGTTGGAAGAAATAGTAGTTTCCTTTTCTATTTGTGGAAGAGTCAACTGGGTAGGGGAAATGTCTCTAATGTTGGCCTATGGATCTAAGATTGGGACCACTGCTAAAAATCTGCTATTCATCAATTTTATCTAGATGAACGCGTTATTGGGACGTTACTAATTGATATTTTGGTTGCTATTGAAAATTTAGCCGATTGCTGAATTTATGTATGGGCCATAATTGGGGACACTTAGGCCGACATTACCTGCATTTCCCCTATATTAAAAGAAAGAATATTGCAAGGGGCAATCAAATCTGCACACTATGCTGAAACACAGCATGACACCACTGTTGAGTGTTGACATTTTGCCAATCGTTTCTAAAGCAAACCCCACACGTATCAATATATTGACGCGAAGGGGAATTATTGACATTAATATTGATGATGTGAATACAGAAATATTGTCAATACCGATGTATTGACGTCAATATTGACAGTATTGACAATACGATTATTGTCAATAAAAGCAATCGTGTACGGTCCACATAAGGTTTACTACTCGGGTCAATATCTGTTTACTCACAAACGAAACTAGTGAGAGAATGTCATACATAAAACTGGTGATACAAGGATTCAATCAAGAAGCTGTAAACGACAAACGGATACCCACCGGTGTTGGGGATCATTCGAAAAATTCTGTAAGTATTGTCAGACAATAATTGTCTGAATCGTGAATCTCTTCAAACCTAGCAAAACTAAATCCTTTGGTCTTGCCGATTATATTTGGGAAGGAAATTTTCACATTTTCTCCTGCGTTTTTCCTCGTATATTCTTGCCAATCATTAGTCTTAATTGGTGTGGTCTTTGATAGGACAACCACAGGACTTTAAAGCGATGTCCATAGAATATTGAAAGGTGTATCTGTAATGCTATATGCTCCTGAATCAAGAATCCCTCACGTTTGTCATCTGTGTGGAGCTGACTGGATTGGGCGGAATCTTCTCGAGTTCTATACAGATCTAAGCCGCCTGATAAAGCGCCTCCGCTGAAGTCTGCGGTGGCTGACAATCCTATTTTCAACGTATGACAGTTCTTCAGGAGAATGCATCATAATCAGCGATACGATAGACTTTGAGGACACAAAGCGTGGGATTGAACTATGCTTGAACACCGTATTGGTCTGATGGTTTGCAGTTCCTCTTCCACCTCCCGACCCGCTAACGATCTAATGAGAATGTAGGTGAATGTCTACCATGATCCATCAGAGAAATTGAGAATGCAAACAAAATTACACAAGTCATAACTTTCAGGGTTGCCAAACACCTTGATAAGCATACTTTAATTGTCCTTGATAGGTACGTTCGGCAGAGCGCTTGGCACAGCTTTTGACACAACTAATAACTCGGCACGCATTAAGGTGTGCAGAGTTGAACACCCCTTGGAATATTGCATAGTCCATAGTTTTCTAGACCTAGTATTCTTAAATATCTTTGCAAAATCTTATATAGTTCATCAAAATATGCCCCTTCAAGGGTATATTTTTACATAGACCACTCCTTCCGAGAGATACGCCCCTCCATAACAAAATTCTGATAATTTTAACCGAAAGTCCACTAAATGTACTTTGCAAATCATTTGAAATTTCAGAAATCCGTTGATATTCCGTTAAGAGAAAGCCAAAATTTCGAATCGTGAAGCGTTCTCAAGATAACGAACCCATATATGGAAGCCATCGTTGATAAGAATGTACGGAATTTCACCACGATAATCGAGCCACATGTGCTCGCTATTTCCAAATATGGCATACTGAAATTTGATAAGAGCATACTGCGAACAATATAAAAACCACGCATTCAATGCAACTATTCAACTGCCAGTTCCCGTTCGAATCGCAGCAACCATGGAAGTGAACCTACTCTACCCGCTCATCGTAGTAGCCATCTTGGTGGTAATCTACCGCCGAGTGACGAAATACTTCGAGTACTTTCATGACAAACCCATCCCCTCGATGGCCACCAATCCGATATACGGCAGTACCGGTCCGTTGTATAGGAAACAGTACTCGTTCAGCGATTTCATCAAGACGGTCTACGACAAATATTCGGGAGTCAAGTAAGTTACCGCCTACTGTGTAAATTTGATTCGAGAGGTGTCTAAGTTCATAACCGTTTGCAGAGTGTTTGGCCTATTCGACATGACCACAAAGCTATTCGTCATCCGGGATCCGGAGCTGATCAAGAAGGTTACGATTACGGATTTCGAGTACTTCGTAAACCGCCGCCAGATGGTTGCTACAAACACGAACGAAGACGATGGTTTACTGTTTAGCAAAACATTGCTTTCGTTGACTGATCAGAAGTGGCACGATATGAGAGCGGTTCTCAGCCCGGCATTTACCGGGAGCAAGATGCGTGTAATGTTCGAACTGATTGAGCAGTACAGTGCTCGAATGGTGCAGATTTTGAAGGAACAGGCTAACGGAACGGGCTACGTGGATTACGAGATGAAGGATTGCTTTTCGAGGGTGGCGAATGATATCATTGCTACGTGTGCATTTGGACTGCAGGTCGAATCGCTCAAGAGCCGAGAGAACGAATTCTTTGTGATGGGAAAAAAGATGCTTAACTTCAACAGCCTGACCGTTTTGCTACGAATTTTTGGTTTCAGGTTGGTCCCGGGATTGATGGCAAAGCTGAAAATTGATCTGCTTGATGCCAAACATGTTCAGTATTTTTCGAAGATCATTAAGGACGCCGTTCAGACTAGAGAGAATCACGGGATCGTACGACCAGACATGATCCATCTGCTGATGCAGGCTAGGAAGGGAATTTTGAAGCATCAAAAGGACGGAGCCGCAGCCAATGCAGGATTCGCTACGGTTGAAGAATCGGACGTCGGGAAGTCGACCACCAGTAAGACCATCACGGAGTCAGAGTTCATCGCTCAGTGTTTGGTCTTCTTCTTAGGGGGATTCGACACTGTTTCTTCCGAAATGATATTCATGGCGTATGAACTAGCCATGAACCGAGATGTTCAACAGAGACTGTACGAAGAAATTGCGGAAACAAACAGACAACTCGAAGGAAAACCACTGACGTATGATACGTTGCAGAAGATGAAATACATGGACATGGTGGTTTCGGAATCGCTCCGAATGTGGCCAGCTGCGGCATTCGATAGAACATGCGTCCGAGACTACGTGCTGGATGATGGCGCCGGGCTAAAGTTCACTATCGATCGAGGAACTTGCTTATGGATTCCGGTTCATGGCATCCACCGGGATCCGAAGTACTATCCCAATCCGGACAAGTTTGATCCGGAGCGATTCAGTGAGGAGAACAGAGCGAAGATCAACACGGCACTGTATTTGCCGTTTGGAAGCGGACCTCGGAACTGCATCGGATCGAGATTTGCCCTAATGGAGATGAAAGCAATCATGTACGCACTGGTGCTAAATTTTAGCTTCGAAAGGAACGAGAAGACACTGGTGCCGATGCGGCTTGCTAGGGGATTCGCTGGATTTACCGGTGAAGGGGGCGTTCATTTAAGACTGAAGCTGAGGCTTTAGGAATGTATGCTAATTTCGAATAATAAATTTAATATGCTATGATGTACGACGAAACAAAAGTGTAAACCATCCAATACATTCGTACTACAATTATAACGCTGCCGAAAATTTTCATCCATCTTATCGGAACGAGCTTAATTGCTATTAATTTAAAAAAAAACCTCACTGCTCGCCATCCAGTGGGCATTGACACATCATTCAACACCGTTCAGTCTTCGTACGAATCGCAGCAACCATGGAAGTGAACTTACTCTACCTGCTCATCGTAGTAGCCATGCTGGTGGAAATCTACCGCCGGATGACGAAATATTTTACATTCAAAGTGTTTTTTATGTTACTTCATACGCGAAGTTAACGATTTTCAGAGTTGGTTGGAAATGCTAACATGAAGCTTTTAGTGTGATGATTTATTAGCTAGAGAATGATCTTTTTTTTAGAAGAGTGTAGGTGGATAGTTCCGTTAGAGTACGGCAGTATGAAAATTGAATAGAAGTTGAAAATGAGCGAAGGGCCATTAAAGCGACAGTTTACAAGATAGACGCACATTTTTGCCTGTGGACTTGGAGACATACTTCAAGTCCCCGCGTACATCGTACGGGCTAGGCAAAAATGTGCGTCTATCTTGTAAACTGTCGCTTTAATGGCCCTTCGCTCATTTTCAACTTCTATTCAATTTTCATACTGCCGTACTCTAACGGAACTATCCACCTACACTCTTCTAAAAAAAAAGATCATTCTCTAGCTAATAAATCATCACACTAAAAGCTTCATGTTAGCATTTCCAACCAACTCCGAAATATTTTAATTATTTCCAAGATAAACCGATTCCTTCGATGGCCGCCTCTCCGCCGTTTGGAAGTACCGGTCAGATGTTGCGGAAAAAGTGCGCGTTCAGCGATTTTATCAAGATGATTTACGATAAATATTCGGGAGTCAAGTAAGTCACCGCCGCCTACTACAAACGAACCTTTCCTAAATGTGTATCTTGCAGAGTGTTCGGACTGTTCGACATGACGACGAAGATGTTCGTCATCCGGGATCCGGAGCTGATCAAGAAGATCACCGTGAAGGACTTCGAGTACTTCATCAATCGGCGGTCGTCGTTTGGCGAAAACAAGGACAATGATAATGGGATACTGCTAAGCAATACGTTGGTCATGCTGAATGATCAGAGGTGGCGTGACATGAGAGCGATTTTCAGTCCAGCGTTCACCGGGAGCAAGATGCGGGCTATGTTTGAGTTGATCGCGAAGTACAGCGATGTAATGGTACGAGTGTTGAAGGAACAAGCCAGCGAAACAGGCTATATGGACTACGACATGAAGGATTGTCTCTCGCGGGTGGCAAACGATATCGTTGCCACGTGTGCGTTTGGACTGCAGGTCGAATCGCTGGAAAGCCGTGAGAACGAGTTCTACATGATGGGGAAGCAACTGATGAACTTTAACAGAATAACCGTAATGATACGAATGATTGCCTTCGGCTTGCTCCCGGGATTGATGGCGAAGCTAGGTTTTGATATTATCGATGCTGAGCATAGTCGTTACTTCACGAAGATCATCATGGATGCTGTACGGACTAGAGAGATTCAAGGAATCGTTCGCCCGGACATGATCCATTTGCTGATGCAGGCGAGGAAGGGTGTTCTTAGGAATCAAAAGGAGACAGCCGAAGATAATGCCGGATTTGCAACCGTTGAAGAATCCGATGTAGGGAAGTCGGTAGTCAACAATAAGACCATCACGGAGACGGAGTTCGTTGCGCAGTGTTTGATTTTCTTCTTGGCTGGATTCGACAGCGTGTCTTCCGGAATGGTATTCATGGTGTACGAGCTAGCCATAAATCCCAACGTTCAACGGAGATTGTTCGAGGAAATCATGGAAACAAACCATCAGCTCGGAGGGAAGCCATTAACCTACGACACGCTGCAGCAGATGAAATATATGGACATGATGGTTTCGGAGTCGCTCCGAATGTGGCCAATACCGGCATTCGACCGAAAGTGCGTCCGAGACTACGTGGTTGATGATGGCGCCGGGCTGAAGTTCACCATCGATGCAGGAGACTGCATCTGGGTTCCGGTTCATGGCATCCACCGGGATCCGAAGTACTACCCCAACCCGGAGAAGTTCGACCCCGAGCGGTTCAGGGACGAAAACAAAGCAACCATTGACACGACAATGTACCTGCCATTTGGGATGGGACCGAGAAACTGTATCGGATCGAGGTTTGCCCTGATGGAGATGAAAGCAATCATGTATGCGTTGTTGCTGAATTTCAGCATCGAGAGGAACGAGAAGACACTGGTGCCGATGCGGCTTGCCAAAGGATTCGCCGGACTGAACGGCGAAGGAGGTATCCATTTGAGACTGCAACTGCGGCGGTAGGGACGGGTGTTACATTTTGAAAAATAAATATCGACAATTTTCAATAAAACCGTTATGGGTATGTTTTAGGTGACATTCCGAGGACATCAAAAGGGCTTCTATCATTTCCGGGAAGATAATTTCACAAATCTCGAAGTGAGTCTAATAATGATATGCTTTAACGATAATTCAAGGATGCATTTTTAAATAGACGTAACTGCTGTTGTAGACAAAGATTCGAACGTCAATTTGTTGAAACTCTTAGCTCGCTCACGCTAACCATTGCCTGGATAACTAGCTGCTTGCGGGCAGCCTTTCCTTTCGTACTGGAGAACGATGTTCAATGCCACGCGCCAAAAGCACTGCTGCTGCTGCTGATGATGACGACCGACCGGACATCACCACACACGGTGATTGAATAAGCACCTTTCGGCGAGACCAAATGGAATTTGATTTTGAAATCTGTGTTAGGGAAAGCGCTTTTTGCAGGCAATCGGTTTGCAACAGTTGGACATGACCTATTGAAAATTGATAAAGTGCTGCAGCAGATTCGTAGAAAAATTTCCAATCGATTGGTTTGTTTAGAATAAAAATCCATCCGTTATTGACCGTGTTATAAGTGGTCAAAACCTGAACACTTTTCGTAACGCGGCAATTTTGGTTTTTTTGAATTGCACCCCCAATATGTTGCCGAAAGACGTAATCCTACGTCAAAAGCAAATACGGGAACAGACCTATTGATATCGCTAAGCTATAGCAATGCAATAATGAGACGTTCTGTTGACGGGTAGTAAATTGCGTTACTACATGGTAAAGTGGGAATTAACTTTTCAAACTAACGCTCTTCTTGTTCTAATGCCCCACGTGATTGAATTAGTAAAGGGTGTCCACGATGAAATTGCCACACTATGAAATTGCTCTAACTTTTTAACCGTTGGGTAGAATTTAATGAAAATTTGGGTGGATTTAGTTCATAGTGCATTATTTACATCCTGCAAGTTTTAAAGTCCTGTGATCAAAACTCGCGGAAATGGAGTCGAAAGAACAGCTCGTGCGTGATAAAATCTTGCGCATTCATCACGAGAACAAGGATCTCTCGCATCGTTCCATCGCTAAAACGTTGGGAATCGCGAATTCCACGGTGTCGCGAGTGATTAAGCGGTTCGAGGAACGGTTGACCACCGATAGGAAGCCCAGAAGTGAAGGAAAAATTATTCCGTACAACACCAAAAATCACAACCGCGTAGTTGGGGCCTTCAACCGAAATCTGAACGCCTCCGTTAGGGATGTGGCTAAGAAGCTGCACCTAAGCCGAAGTTTTGTCCAGAAGGCCAAAACTAAGGCTGGGCTTCGAACGTTCAAGGTACAAAAGGCCCCTAATCGCGACGAGAAGCAGAACAAGTCCGCCAAAACCCGTGCCAGGAAGTTGTACCTCAACATGCTGACGAAAGTTGAATGCTGCATCATGGACGACGAAACATATGTGAAGGCCGACTTCAAACAGATCCCCGGCAACCTGTTTTTCACGACCAAGGATAAGTTCAGCGTTCCGGAGCATGTCCGCACTCAGAAGATGTCCAAATTTGCGAAGAAATTCCTGGTTTGGCAAGCCATCTGCACGTGCGGGAAGCGGAGTGCACCTTTCGTGACCCAGGACACGATGAACGGACAGGTGTACATAAAAGAGTGCCTCCAGAAGCGGCTGCTTCCTCTCCTGAAGGCCCACAACGTCCCAACAAACTTCTGGCCGGATTTGGCCTCATGCCACTACTCCAAGGACGTGCTGAAGTGGTATGCGGACAATAAGGTCAATTTCGTGCCGAAAATGTTCAACCCTCCCAACACTCCGGAGCTCCGCCCCATCGAGAAGTACTGAGCGATTATGAAGCAGCACCTTCTTAAACGACCTAAGGTAGTGAAGACAGTCGAGGAACTGATGAAAGTATGGGTTTACATGCAAAAAACGGTTGATTCACAGGTTGTGCAGAATCTTATGGCCGGGGTTAAGGCCAAGGTGCGGGCATTTGCGTATGGACTGTAAATAAAATACGAGTTAAATGGTAAAATGAAGTTTAATAGTTATTTCTCAATCCCTGAAAATTTGATGGCAATCGGATGAAAACTCGAATTTTGCGAATCAATTTTGTGTGTGGCAATTTCATCGTGGACACCCTTTATAAACAATGTTATCAATGTTTGGCCAAACGATTTTCTACATCAAGTATGTTTACAGTTTCGGTTGATTTACGGTATCTCTGCAACCAATCTGCTGAACATCTATTTATATTTGGAAATTGTTTTATCTTATCTATTCAGCGGAAAGACTGTGCCTTGAATATCTTGCTCAACAAATTACGTAGAGAACAATATGGAAGTGATTCTGATATAACATTAATTTTAAACACAGAAGTTTTTATTAGACTACAATACTAAAAGCTACAACCTTAAACCATGAACTTCTACTTCCTCAACTTGAACCTCAAATTCAGTCCATTTTCCACGCCCAATCCGGTGAACCCCTTCACAAGCTTCAACGGCACCTGAGTCTTCTCGTTCCTCTCGATGCTGAAGTTCAGCAACAACGCATACATGATTGCTTTAATCTCCATCAGGGCAAACCTCGAACCGATGCAATTTCTCGGCCCAATACCAAACGGCAGGTACATCGTCATGTCAATGTTTGCTCGGTTTTCGTCGCTGAACCGCTCCGGGTCGAACTTCTCCGGATTGGGGTAGTACTTCGGGTCCCGGTGGATGCCATGAACCGGAATCCAGATGCAGGCTCCCTCATCGATGGTGAACTTCAGCCCCGCACCATCATCCACCACGTAGTCTCGGACGCATTTTCGGTCAAAAGCCGCAACTGGCCACATTCGCAAGGCCTCCGAGACTACCATGTCCATGTATTTCATCTTTTGCAGTGTATCATAGGTCAGCGGCTTCCCACCGAGTTGTTTGTTCGATTCCGCAATTTCTTCGTACAGTTTGTGTTGAACATCGAGGTTCAAGGCGAGTTCATACGCCATGAATACCATTCCGGTGGATACGGTGTCGAATCCTGCCAGGAAGAAGATCAAACACTGTGCGATGAACTCCGGTTCGGTCATAATTGTACTGATAACTGTCTTGCCAACGTCTGACTCCTCAACCGTTGCAAACCCGGCACTGGCTTCGGAAGTCTCCTGTTGATGCTTCAGAACACCCTTCCGCGCCTGCATCAACAGATGAATCATGTCTGGTCGTACGATCCCGTGAGTCTCCCTAGCCTTCACAGCTTCCTTGATGATCTTTGAGAAGTACTGGGCCTGCTCCCTGTCTACGATATCAACACCCATCTTCACCATCAAGCTCGGGAAGATTCTTATCCCAATGATCCGAAACAGTACGGTCAACCTGTTGAAGTTCATCATCTTCTTGCCAGTCACGAAGAACTCGTTCTCACGACTCTTGAGCGACTCGACTTGCAGACCAAAGGCGCACGTTGCAATGATATCGTTCGCCATCCTCGAGAAGCAATCTTTCATCTCGTAATCCACGTAACCGGTGTCCCGTGATTGTTCCTTCAATATGTTCACCATTCGCCCACTGTACTCTTCGATAAGTCCGAACATCGCACGCATCTTGCTTCCAGTAAACGCCGGACTGAGGATCGCTCGCATATCGCGCCACCGCTGATTGTTCAACCCAACCAAAGTTTTACTAAACAGGATATTCTCGTTGCCGTCGTCCTTATCGCTGTCTCCGAACAATGGCCGTCGGTTTACAAAGTGCTCGAAATCCTTCACGGTAATCTTCTTGATCAGCTCCGGGTCCCGCAGGACGAACATCTTCGACGACATGTCGAACATTCCAAAAACTCTGCAAAAAATGTAAACCATGAATATAGCATGAACGGCAGTAACAGTAGTAGGCTGTGACTTACTTCGCATTGGGGTACTTGTTGTAGACCTTTCCGATGAAATCGTTGAAGGAGAGCTTCTTCAGCATCAGTGGGCCAGTGCTTCCGAACAGCGGATTGGTGGCCATCGAGGGGATCGGTTTGTCGTGGAAATAGTCAAAATACTTCGTCACCCGGCGATAGATTACCACCAGGATGGCTACCACGATGAGCAGATAGAGTAGATTCACTTCCATGGTTGCTGTGATTCCAATGGCGACAGGCACTGAACTGAACCAAGATACGGACCGTGCTGAGAGGTATCCAACAATTGATAACGGTCAAGGTGCTAATTGACGTTGATAAATATTTGTTTGTTTCGCTTTGGGATCGCCTTTTATGGAAAGCGATGCGGTGGTATGTGAGCACTGATTTGTTTAGAGGCTTGCATTTCACAATAAAGATTAGTTTGCAGTTTTGTGTGGCAATTTATACGAGAATTAGATACTGACGTGAGTCTTCACGCGAGAATTTGATTTGTCACCAATGAGTGGAATTTTTAGTATTGCTGACGCCTACCTCAACTAATCTTGAATTTCCACAGTTCCACTTTGCTGTGAAATTTCGAATTGCGTCAAAACTAGTAGACCATTCGGGCCAAGCTTCAAACGTAAACTAAAAGTCAGTGTATCCGGCAAAAAAAACTTGTTCTCGGTGATGATGATTGGGCAATAAAAAACACAATCATCATTCTTCTCAAACTTGTTTGAAGATTTCTCTCCTTGCATTTGACTCTATTTGAGTCTGTTGCTCAAAATCCTCACAAAGTGTTCAGCCCCGTTTTGCCATCGTAGTGCCACTTCATGAGGCTCAAAAGTTGAACCAGGCGTGTTGCGTTGCTGAAATGTGTAGCTCTTGACATGAAAGAAGATAGCATCGTTCACAATGATCTCGAATAATTTTGAAGCTGCAGATAGACTTGTTATGCCACGATAATTTGTCACGTCACGTTTGTCGCCCTTCTTATGGACAGGGAACATTAAGGAATGTCTCCATATTTCGGGGAAAACTCCTTGGTACAACGAAGCGGTAAAGATGCGAGCTAGGGGATCAGCTAAAACAGCAACACAGCGGCAAAAAATGATTGCAGGTACACCATCAGGACCCGGTGAAACAGATTTCTTCAACTTCCTAACAGCTTTAACGACATAAATATTGCTAACCACAAATGTACGCAAATCGATGAGACCCTCAGGAACATTGCAAGCCGCTCTTTCTACTTCATCTGCGTTGGCGGCTGAATCCGAAAAAACAGAACTGAAGTGGCGGGAAAATAGATCACACGATTCGAGCATAGAAGTAGACTCCAAATCGCCAAAAAATACGGATGAAGGAATATTCGACGATTTTCGCTTGGAGTTCACAAACTTCCAGAAGCTCTTGGGATTTCTACGTTAATTGGTCTGGACACGCAAGACATATGACTTGTATAGGGTTGAATTAAGCTTACGATAGGCGTTGCAAGCGCGATGAAAGTTGCGTTTCGTTTCAGAAGTTCGATGTCGGCGAAGTTTACGCTGCCAGGAATTTTTATCGCGTTTCAAAAGCCGCAGGAGAGGAGAACTCCAAGCAGGAGATATAGGAGGTTTTCGTCTTGGAGTGTTATCGGTGAGCCAATTGCAAATTATGTTGCAAAATTGTGCTGCCATATCGTTGACGTCATTTGTTGCCAGAATACTGCTCCAATCACAGCTCATAAGGAACTCTTTGAGCATGACGAAGTCGATTTTTGAGTAGTCGAGCGTATGTTCACCAGCATCAAGGGATTCCACACGGTCAACACAATCGGATTGAGTTGGTAAGGAGAATAAAATCGGTGGATGATGCAAATCAATAGCCAGCAATGGGGACACCGCTTCGTTAACTACAATGTTGCAATCGGAATCACAGAAAACCAAATCTAGGATGCGCCCCAGGTGATTGCGAATAGAGTTGTATTGCCGGATATTCAGGAAGCTCGTTCCATCCATCAGAGCAGCACTGGCAGCAGACGTCGTGGAAGGATCAAGGTTTAAGATTCCATCATCAAGACAATCCCATGCTATGTGTGGTTGATTGTAGTCACCACAAGCAAGCAAAAGGTCACCATCTGGAGTTGCATCACGTAATTCACGAAGAGTAGCTAAATGGGCATCGATAACACCTACGTCCCGACTACGATCTGGAGAAATATATACAGCGCAAAGCACGAACCGCTTTCCGCGAATACAGGCAGACACACTTACTTGTTCCAGGTTACTACCATTAAAAGCCTTTATCTCAACAGACTTGTAAACGCTGGCCACGGCAATAAGCACTCCTCCAAACTTCGCTTTCTGGCTATTACGAGCACTGCGATCGCAGCGAAATACATTAAAGTCAGTACCAAAAAGTTGCAGTGAGTTGATGCTGTCGTCAAGGCCCGTTTCTATCAATATGATGACATCGTAATTGCAATCACATACCGCTACAACCAGGTCGTCAATTTTGGTTCTTAGACCACGTACGTTTTGGAAGTAAAGTCAAACATCGTTGTCACCAGCAATTCCACATAGGTAGGGGACGTTCAAGGCGATGTCCATGTTGGCTGGAGGTACTCCCGGCAGAACAAGTTGGTGATCTGAGGAGGGAATCATCATCAGGCAGGAAATTATGAAAATTATGTTGATACTTGCCTAGACAAGCAAGCTGGAAGACCTCTTCTCGCACATCAGACACAGGGCCGGGACGACTTCGACTGCATTCACCATTTATCGGCGCGACTGTGCTGAGTGGATAAGAGGCTTCCAAAATGCTTATTTTTGCGCGTCCCGGGGTCCATCCATCGGTTGATTTGCTGCAAACGTCGTCTGCGGTGTCACTGGCGTGGGTGTTAGATTCACACCAGATGGTCTCCGAAATTTTTGAGCCGAGTGATCTTCGAATTCACGGAATAGAACTCCTTCGGGCCAAGATGACGGATCCAAAGCTCTCTTCTTCAAAGCTGGGTCTAGACCGACTTTGAATGAAATAAAGGTCATGTTACTGGTGTCGGTTCCTTTGGCGACCAATTTCACAACATCAGGTTCATTTTCGAGTTCCAGGTTGGCTTTCACCATTTCAGAGATTGCTTCGTTGCTCACATCACGTTGGATACGGGACAACAGTTCTGACCCAACAGTTTTGAACCAGACTGACACTCAGATGTTTTAGGCACCACAGAGTCGGATCCACGAAATCGTTTTGATGGTCGAGTTGCTTCAAGTGTTGGCCAACGGTTGACAGCAGGTGGCAGAATTGACGGGACAGGCTTTGATGACAACTGTTTAATTTCCCTGATGAATGTGGGCGTCTTAGTGGAATACCTGTATAATGAGAGAGAGAAGGATTAGTATTTTCCATTTAATTCCACTACTTTATTTGCTTATCCTTGACAGATACGCGTATTTCGTCTACAATGTGCAGACTTCTTCAGTGTCTTGTACTAATACTCGACTCGAGTCGAGTATTAGTACAAGACACTGAAGAAGTCTGCACATTGTAGACGAAATACGCGTATCTGTCAAGGATAAGCAAATAAAGTAGTGGAATTAAATGGAAAATACTAATCCTTCTCTCTCTCATTATATGTTTAATTTCCGTCTGCAAATTCGTGATAGCTTCCGTGAGAGAAAGCAGCGGTGATTTTTCAACTGCCAAATTGGTGATGGATCGGAGGTGCGAATTCTCAAAAAGTTCCGCACATTTATCGCACATCCAAAAGAGGTTTTTCCGATGGGATGTGAAGTAACCAGACAGGGCACGAGACACTCCGGAACACGTCATGTGAAACACACTGCCACAGTATCCTCGGCAGGTCACATACTCAATGCCAGTAATTTCCAACGAGCACTTGGCACAATTTGTCTCCATGCTGGCAGTTGAACGGTCAAACGCCTTTAATTAGACTTCTTGCAGGAACAAAAGTTGGCGGTAGGACGGTGATGACAAACAAGCTCAGGATGATTGAGTGCTGTTTCAACAATAGCACGTAGGTGAAGAATGAACAAAAACAACTCTATAGCACAGCACAGCGCGGACTAAAAACAGTTAAATTGTACTTCGAATAACTACTTTACGAGCACAATTTTTTAACAATAATGTCCGGATGATTAAAACGAAAAACTTGGTCAATATTTGGAAATATTTTTGACTAGATAAGACACGAAAAATAACGAATAAAACTGCGACTTGAAATAGCACAAGTAGCAAAGCCACACGATATTGAAAAACTGGGAATACAATTCGCTTCATGCACTATTAATCAACTATATATTCAGCCTGATGTTAATCTGCTTTGTACACCCCTAGTCAACCAATAATCAGCTTCTGTTCTCACTGTTCAGCTTGCATTGTTACTTGGGCTGTTTTCGTCGGTCGCGGTTAATTTGTTTGTTTGTTTTTTGCTTCTGTCATTTTTTGTAAAAAAAATTTACAAATGACTATGACAATACAAAAGAAAATTGTCTGTTTCGAATGGACCGTTTTAATGAAAATCCAGGATCAACTAGTATGGAAGATTGTGAAAATTAGTTGCTATAAAAGAAGCATCTATGAGCAAGAGGAGAAGGATGATGGCGACTTGAATGCCATGAGACAGAATCAATCGTAGCAGAATTTGGTGTGACCTGTCCATATTATTTTATTTTATAATTAAATATAAATAACAAATATCTTGGGAATTAGGAGCGACCATCAGGGTACCCAACTGAAGCAATTAGGATGGGGAGATTGAAATTTTCAACTCCTTGTTGTTAACATTTCGTGGATAAAGGGCGGGCTCTTCTCCACACTCGTTGTGGCATCCTTCTGTTTGACGGCTTGTTTTTTTTACCAATTGATCATGCTGCTGAAAGGAGATTCTTTACTTTCCCGTGGATGCGTATAGGTGACTTTGCCAATCAATCCACCCAACCCGTTGTTGGTCCTTCATACAGGGACATGTTGAGGACAGTCAGAGGATAAAATCAAATAGTGAGGAGAGCCCACTGCTATCGGACCTAGTTTTAGTGCTACAATGAGTCGAAGACAATTATCATCATTTTATGAAGAATTTCAAAAGAATTTTGAAAAGAACTCCTAGGGCATTTGGACTAGAATTCAAAGTTAAATATGAGAATAATTCTAATCCAAATGAATTGAATGAAATCCTAGAATGTTCTAAAGATAATTCCAAGGAAATTTTGAGTAGAATTCCAGGATAATTCTGATGATTACTCGATGGAAATGTTGAGGATAATTTCAGAAAAATTCTAAGGAGTATTCCAAAGCA